AACCTCTAAGTTAAACCTATAAGCATTAAGAACTTAAAAGAATAGCTTCAAATAAAGAAAAATCAGAACTTAATTCACATTAATTCAAATAGTCAGGGTAAGGGGATACCCAGTTAGTATAAAATTTGAGTCATGAGGACTCCAATCAACACAATGAAGATCTCCCTTATGCGCTTTGTCAACCTGCATAAAAAGATAACCATGGGAGAATAGGAGGAAAATGAAAGCATGTTCAAATCTAAATTATAAATGTTTCATGATAGTAATTGAAACAAAAAAAAGCACATATCAAACCCAATAATATTTATGAGAACCTAAATTTTCAAATATACCGAAACTTCAAATGGTAAGAAAACCTCAAATAAAAACATAAGTCGTAATGATGTCAATTTCATCTTGGAAGAAATATTAATAATAGTAACAAAATAATTCTCTGCATTTGGACCACTAAAGAGTAGGTTCATATTCAAAAGCCACTACTAAACTCTTTATGCAATTCAAATTCAACAAGTCATAGGATGCTTGTGACTATTAAAATGTGAGTTTATATCTAAACTGACTAACATAATAGACTCTTATAACATATTAGAATGTGGCTTCAAGATTAACTTGATCCTATAAATATCACTTGTAAGGTGGGGTTACATTCCGTTTATATACTCTATTTTGGTCATATCACTCGTCTATGTGGGGACTAAATCACCACCACCTCCACCATTAAGATTGCAATTTAGACAAGCCCCAAGTTGTAATTTGGGTGGGCTAGGAGTAACGACAATTAAGGTGACTTTTCTACAATGATGATCCGAAACTAATAATATCTCTCTTAACTTCTTGAAGTATTTCAGCAATTAACACTTGGTTTTTGAAACATGAAGCAAACAGCAATAATGCAGATGAAATGAAGAAACCTTGACAACTGGAGCAGATCCAACTCGTGCATCCCAGAGTATAAGACGAGAATCATCACCTACACTACAGAACTCCTGTGCACTACAATTCATAGTCACAAAAAAGTACAAGATGCATGTCAATATAACAATGAAACAGAAAACGAGAAAATGATATGGAAATCAGCAAGTCAGTCCATTAATATTTGACTTATATTATATCAAAAACAAAGTTTGAAATTGAAATATTACTGATGGATTTTTTATCAACTTACAACTCAAGTCTCCCTTCAGTATAACAAACCGAATTTCATTAAGATAAATTCCATCACAACAAAATAAATTAACAAAAAATTAAAATGACCTAAATTATTATTCATGCAACAATAAGTAACTGGCAAACAAATACACTACAGCAAATACATACCACATGATAAGATATTTTACAAAACTTAAATCATACATAATTCAGATTTAGCTAAACAGAAACTGGCACAAGTATGACAAAAGCAAGAAAAAACTACCTTGATGGGCAAAATTGAACATCTTCAACAGTGTCCGTATGACCCTGGTAGATGCCCCTTGGTCCAATAGTAGGGCTTTCTGTAGCTTTTGCATTGTTTCCCCCACTTTTAGAGCTCTGTTTAATAGTGGGTGCTTCTTCAACAGCTAAAGTTGAAATATGATCATGAACACTCCATAAAACCACACATTTGTCCTTCCCTACCATGGTGAATTCAAACAAAATTAACAAAATCCAATGTCCGTAAGCAGTAAATAATCCAGAAAGGGTAAGGAAAATAGCATTTGCTTTATGCAGGGAGGAAATTAACAGATAAAGTTTATATTTTAGGAGCAACATAAACAACCCGACAAGATTACAGCCAATAATAAACATGTATTTGTGGTTTTATATTTGGTAACTGCAAATTTTAGGATAATTTTTTTTTCTCAGATTCCAAAAACCTAATGCTAGAGAAAGAAATTTACACCAGTGCAAAATAAACATCTTTTATGGTGAGAAGGCAATGAAAAAGACTCCAACCTCCAGAAAGTACAAAGGGTTCAGATGGGCACATAGCCAAAGCAAATTCAGCATTATCCTTATGGCCAGTTAATACCTGAAAAAAGGTATAGCTTATATTTCAGGAGCCTGACTCATGAATAAAGGTGTAGAAGAACCAAATTATTTAAGAGAATGTATGAAAACAAACCAGGTCAGGACGAGAAGTGGCAGCCCCCAGAACAGCATTACGATTAGGCTGAGCTTCAACATCCCATATAAATACCTGTTTTACAATATAGAAAATTATAATTCAGTTATCAAACTTGGACAAGTTCATTAACCACAAAGTTGAGGATAAAATTTAAAGGTATTTTTTTTCAAAATCTTGACATAATGGTATTTTAATTTAACAGAGAAAAGGAAACCTAAAAAAGTCACCGCTTAACCTCAGGACTATCTGTGTGAGTAGCTACAATCTGACTTTTTTGTGGAAATTCCCTGATTCTATTTACCTGAAAAAAATAAGTAAACCAATGTTGAAGTAAGTTATAAATAAACGTCATGGATTATATTAACAGGGTTTAAAATAGTATGCTATAAGTGTTATGTATGGATTCCCAAAAGCTCTCTAAACAAAATCATTTGGGATTTCAATTGTCAAAAATGAAACCTACAGCTGTAATAGTAGTGAAAATGATAAAGAGACTGGGGTTTAGAAGATGATGATTTATGATAAACTATTCCTAATCTAGGAAACTTGTATTTGATTTTTTACGGTATTTACTTATCTGGTTTTGTTCAAGACACCTATGATTTTTCTGTTAATTATGAATGTCATTAAATGTCAATTAATTTTGTAATTTGGGAGAATTCATACGCATATAGCCATACACGATATAATCAATATTAACAAAATTTCTCTACCAAGAAAATGTAAACAAAATTAACAATATAAACATGATAACAATAACATGGTGATCCAAGAAGAATATATGATATAAAAAATATTCAAAAATGCGATTTTGAGGCTGACTGATACCGGTAAGCGCCTCTATTTAGGATTTAAAAAAGCGATTGCAAGTGGCTAAGCCTGAGTGGTAACAAGGCATTTATAAGTGCATAAATACACGTGAAAGACGAAATTAGACCTAAACCAAAAGTATGGCTCCCATAAGCCAGAAACAACGATACCTCGCCAGGATGTAGTATAGTTTTGAACTTCTTGACAAAAGGAGACCGTGATTCTTCGTTAAACTGAAAGATAGAACCAAAAAAAAATGGTACATTAGTAATAAATCAAAACGTAATTATTAATGAATTTAATTCAATATAAATGGAATGACAACAACAACAATAGAGCAGACCTGAGAGATGTGCTCAGCAGCAGCAACCCTGGGTTTAACAACCTCGCAGTTGGCTATAACGAGAGTGTTGGGAACACTTCCGTCTGTCTGGGAAGAACAAAAAAAGAAGCAACAGTACACACAATAGAAAAACGTTGAAATAAAAAATGTAAAAGCAAAGGAAATTGACGAAAGAAAACCTGCTCAGAGAGATAGAGACGGTGACGGTTCTTGTAGGTTGCTTGTTCCAGTTGAGGACCCCATCTGCAATGAAATGTAAGCGCATAATTGATTAAACTTGCTTTGGAAAATGGAAAACCCTAAACACATAGAGAGAGATAGATATATATATATATATATAGAGAGAGAGAGAGAGAGAGAGAACACCTGCAAGAAAGAGAAGGCCATACGAGGTTGTGGTTGGCGAGCCAATCGTAGAGAACGGGAACAAGAGACTTCCACTGCGTGTACCTCTCTTCCACCTTCTCTTTATCCTCCTTCATCTCCGTTTCAATCTCTGCAATGCTTTTCCAGAGAAAACAGAAAGACACAGTTTTGTTTCTTATGCTTTCAAGTTCCCGCCTTTTTTTCCCTCTCTCTCTCTCTTGTATTTACTGAAATTTGTACTTCCATTCACTCATTCGTATACCATTTTTCCAAATTTTTATGCTCCTAGTTTTATTTTATAAATAAATAATATAAATATTTTTCATTATCGAGAAAAATGTGTTTTAATTTTTAGACAGTATTTCAGTTATGACATAATAAATGTGTTTTAATTTTTAAACAATCTCGTAACATTATGAATTTGATTGGCTATTACAATTGTATTCCTTAAAACTAACCCACAATATATTATTGGAAAAATCAAATTATCTTCATATGATTAAAAAAACTAGTTAATTACATTAAATGTCATGTTACTTATATTCTGACAATACCGAGATGTCCTTATCATGAAACAAAAATTAATAACTCATACAAAAAGTAATGGAACTCGTAAAAAAAACATTATAATGGCATGACCAAAAGTAAAATATTATCTGAAATTAGGATAAGATAAGGATTAAATGAACTAATAATAACTAAAATTTATTATGATTAAGAAAAACATATTTTTATATTGTTTATAAATAATAATGGAAAGAGTAATTGTTTTCTTTTACGAGCCAACATTGAAAAAATACAGGTAGGATTAATTTTGTTTACTTAGAGAACATAAATGGATGAAAAAAACAATAATAATATGTAGGTAGAAGAACAATATTATAAAAATGAAGTTTTTGACATTATTTAATCTAAAAAATAATTTCGAGATTTAATATATTTTATTAATATTTTCAAATTTTCTTACATTGAGAGGCAATCAATTAGAGAAAACTTAAGATATTTGTCTCCTAAGTTATGTTTAATGTAATAGATTCAAAAGAAGTTGAAAGTGACAAGAATAAGAGAAGAAGGGTTATTCAATCAAAACTTTTTCCAAATTTAAAGATGCATAAAATAGAAAAGATTGTAAAGAATCGTCCACAAAAGAATTTTTTCAAGAAAAAGGGAAAAATGTTTGACACCGTTAAACAGAAATGAAATCTGTGTGTTGTGTTGTATGGCTGAAACAAGAAGACCCAAATGCATTAGGCAGAGACAGTTTGAAGATAGTTTATAAGAACAAGAAGCCAAATTGTAAATGATTCTGTAAGATGAGAGATTGCCCTTTCTCTTAACTTTTCCCTTCTTCAAATCCAATCCCGATCCATGCAAATGGGTACATCTCTCATGCATTTTCTGAAATATACTTATCAAAAACTTCTTTTTTAATTTATAATTACAACCAAACAGTAACTATTCCTGCAGCTATAAGGGAGAACAATACAATGTTTTCATATGATCTTTTTGCATATTTCTCAGTTTTTTAATCAGTTTGTTATTCTTTAATATCGATTTGATTTTAGTAATCCTGACCATTTGTTCCGTAGCATGTTTTGAAGGGCAAAATTATTAATCTTGAACTGTGTTTATTATCCAGCATCCCAGGACCATTGTTGTTCCACTCAGCTTCTTGACGGAGATGGTACAATGAACGTTGCCGGAATCGAAAACTTCATGAAAGAAGTTAAATTAGGTGAATGTGGGCTTTCCTATGCCGTAGTTTCTATAATGGGTCCTCAAAGTAGTGGTATATTTTCTATTCTTCGTTATCTCAAGCATATATACATTATAATATACGAAGAGGTGATGAATTCCATTCCTAACGAAACCATGTTTACCCATTGTCTTGTTTGGTTTGAACAGGCAAGAGTACACTCTTAAATTCTTTGTTTAATACCAACTTCAGAGAGATGGATGCATTTAAAGGAAGGCATGTTTTTACAACTCCCATCTATCTCTTAGACCTTGCACATTTAGCAAAGTGGTAAACTGAACTTGTTTTCAGGTCTCAAACAACCAAAGGAATTTGGATGGCTAAATGTGTTGGCATAGAGCCTTGTACACTTGTGATGGATTTGGAGGGTACAGATGGAAGAGAGCGTGGAGAGGTGTTTTCTGCACCTTAACTTACTTTGATCATTGTGATCATGGTTCAGAGTCTGTTGCCTTTTGTCATTTGCATTTTTATTTTATATCATTAACTTCACTGCACACATGTCGATGTGTTTGTATCTCCAGTGAAACATAGTACAACGTACCTTTTTTTCATTATAATTTACAGTACTCTTAATTTTATTTTATTTTTTGGCCATGTTAAATGAGAGGATTCAATTAGCTATCAGATTTATTACATTTATGCATGTTAGAAAGTTGACTATTCTAGACCTCTGGGTCTGCATTTCCTTAGAAAAAATTAGGACAAGGAGAGATTATACTTCTGCCTTTGGTTGTTTCTCCATTATGCTGAAATTGTCTTTCCCTCAGGATGACACTGCATTTGAAAAGCAGAGTGCTTTATTTGCTTTGGCTATTTCTGATATAGTGCTAATAAACATGTGAGTTCTTTCTTGTCTCTTCTTCCTTGGACATATTTACTACAGACTTGTACAAGAAAATTTCAAGTCTGTGTAGTTGCTGTCTTCTTTTAGTTTCCTTTAAGTCATATTTTCTTTCTCTGTGCAACTGATTTTTCCTCCACTTTACTATTTGTGAAGGTGGTGCCATGACATTGGCCGCGAACAAGCTGCAAATAAGCCTCTTTTAAAAACTGTGTTTCAGGTATCATTCAACAGCCAATTAACTGCAGGCAGCATTTGCAATCTTGCGAGTTGTTAATTGTTATTTATCTAATTGGATGCTAGTATTTGCTTTCAGGTCATGATGAGATTGTTTAGTCCACGCAAAACAACATTGCTGTTTGTCATACGTGACAAGACAAAGGTGTCAAAGCAAAAAGCTACACCTTGTTTTTCTAATTCTAAATATTTTCCAGTATTTCATGTTTTTTTATTGTCTGTATATCCTTATTTACTATGTGATTAACCTTTTCCTTTCATAGACACCGCTTGAAAATTTAGAGCCTGTTTTGCGAGAAGATATTCAGAAGGTAAATCAGTCGTGTCACGTTTTTATATGATGTTATTAGAGAGGTATCCAAATTTTTTGTTCACCTTGATTTCTCTACTTTTTACATGGCAGATATGGGACTCTGTTCCTAAACCAGAGGCCCATAAGGAAACCCCATTAAGTGATTTTTTCATTGTAAGATCATCATTCCTTTTTGAATCAGTAAACTTTACTAATAATGTTTGCTTATGCATAGTAGAATTGTATTGGACTTTTATAGTAATTCTTTGCACTTGGATACCAATGACCAGGTTGAAGTTGTTGCTCTTTCTAGTTTCGAAGAAAAGGAAGAACAATTTAAGGAACAGGTGTGAATTGTGCACTAGCTTCCTTCTGATTTCGATGTTGTTGGTATTGAATGAGTAGTTATCAGAATGTGTCTGATGTGGCTCACTGTATATACATAAAATTGTATTAGTTTAGCTTTCATAGAGTAAAACAAAGTTAATCCATTTGCTTATGTTATTATTGATTTATTTAAAATTTAGGTTGCCAGCTTGAGGAAACGATTCCAGCATTCTATCGCTCCAGGTGGCCTTGCAGGGGATCGGCGTGGAGTAGTTCCTGCTTCTGGCTTTTCTTTTAGTGCTCAGGAAATCTGGAAAATCATTAAGGAGAATAAGGATCTCGACCTTCCCGCACACAAGGTAGATAAGCAGAGGTTATGGTGCCACTGTTTTTGTTTTACACGTATGTCGGTTTTATTAATTATATATGATCTAACCACTTGTAGGTCATGGTTGCTACTGTTCGATGTGAAGAAATTGCTAATGAGAAATATGACCTTCTTGTTTCAAATAAGGTATTTACAATTTCTTTTTGTTTAGTTGTCCAACACCTGACAATCTTAAGTACTAATGCCATGGAAATTACTTTATAATTACTGCTCAGGACTGGTGTGAATTGAAAGAGGCTGTGCAATCTGGCCCTATTTCTGGTTTTGGGAAAAATCTCAATTCACTCCTTACCGCTTGTCTTTCAGAGTGAGTATGGGCTAATTGTATGACATTTTTTGTGGCTCGTTTATTGACTTCCATGCAAATGCATTATTATAAGCTTTCTGCTAAATCATGGAGCTCTAAACTATTTCTGTTTGGAAATATTAGAGTCTTTGCTTTGTTGTTTGATTGAATCCTTGGTTTTCTTTATAAGTTGTCCTTTGTGATTGGATTGATTATGAATTCAACTTCTGAAACAACCACTTTCCATACGCAAGAGAAATGCTGCAAACAACAACCCTCTTTCTTACTTTCTTGAAGTGAGAAGCCCTTTCGTACTGGGATACATATTACTACTATTATTATTATTAAGATTAGTAGTATTATTATTACTACTTAGAAGTAGATATTAATTACAAAGAATTAAAGACGGCAATAGATCTTCATTTTAAACAAGAAAAAGAAACTGAGAGAATATGGACTGATGTCATCAGCGAGGAATGATTTTTGTTGCCCAAGGTAGTCGAAGGAGGATGAATATTCACTTCATGGTGTTACTGTTTCTTACCTCACGGTTTTATACTTTCAAGGGCAATTTTATTGCTATGATGTTACACGGTAACTTAAAAAATAAAATGCAGTTCAAGATAAAATCTCAGAAGTTTGTTGTATTTATGCTGCATTGTTACAAAGCTACAAACAAGACTGAAGAGAAGTACAAGAGATAAAGAGATAAAGAGAAAAAGAATGAATATATTATTGGTAAATGAAATGCGAACAGAAAAGAAGAGATTTCTCTTGTTGGCCTTTCCTTTAAAAATGGCTTCCCTTTCTACAACTGAACTACTCTTAAGTCCCCATAGGTATAAGTTTAGGATGAATCTTGTTCAACTATTAAAGTTGAGCCCTACTGCTAGAACCGCCTAACAACTCTATGACTATTTTTTAACTATTTCTTTAGCTTCCAGGGACCTGTCATGCATGTTGAAACATTATATGAAAATGACTTGATTTTTTTGAAGGCAAATTGAGATATTTTCTTTTGCCCTAGATATGATGCTGAAGCCAATTATTTTGACGAAGGTGTCAGAACGGCAAAACAAAAGCAACTCCAAGAAAAACTGTTGCAAGTAATTCTTCTTAAGTTCATTCTTGCACAATCATGGTTTGTTATCATTAATTTCATGTAAACATAAATGAAATGGTGATTAGAGAACGAGAAACCAAAATTAATGATATTGAAATAAGGCTAACTAATTAAGATACTGGACTGTTGGTCGTGTTTATTTTTATTGAATGTTTTCGTAGCGTAGTCATAATTCTTAGATCTAAAATGCTGCTTCGCTTAATGCCTTTTCAATTGGTTAGCTTGTCCAACCAGCATTCCAAAGTGCGCTAGGACATGTAAGGTCCAAAGCTTTTGATAAGTTCAAGGCAGCATTTGACAAGGCTTTGAATGGAGGGGAAGCGTTTTCTTCTGCTGCTAATACATGCGTGGAGTCTTGTATGGCTAAGTTTGATGAAGGATGTGCAGGTATTGAGTCATATATGCCTCAGTATGATGAAGGATGTCAGTGAATTACAATTTGACACCAAAATGTTATTCTTGTAGATGTTGTCATTGAAATAGCTGACTGGGATACATCTAAAGTGAGGGAGAAGCTGCGGCGTGATGTTGATGCACATGTCTCATCTGTCCGTGCATCTAAGATATCAGAACTAGTTTCATCATATGAGGTACATGTCTAACATTGTTCATTCATGCTTTATTTTGAGAGAATTTTAGCTCAATGTTTGTGTTGGGCCAAATAGACCAATGGTTGAAATCTTGTAGGTGGCCATTTTAAATTAGAACTAAAAGAGAGTTTCTACTACAGTTATCGGGGAGAAAAAAGGGCAAAGTGATGGTTTCATACAATGTATTTATCTCATTATGTTGCCAATTAATAATGGCCAGTCAAAGTTTATGTGAAGTTTTTTTCTTAGTGATACTTGGTAGAAGTTTGCTGTGTTTATATACGAGAGTGGCTAACTTCCTAGGAAGTTTGCTGATAGTAGTACGCTTGCAGGAAAAACTGAAGGAAGCATTATCTGCACCTGTTGAAACTCTATTGGATGGAGCTAATAATGATACTTGGTCATCGATAAGGAAACTTCTTAATCGTGAGACTCTATCAGCTGTTTCTGGGTTCTCTGCAGAACTTGACAGATATGATATGGATGAAGAAACAAAAAAGAGCATGATTGTGACTTTAGAGGATTATGCAAAGGGTGTGATAGAAGCCAGGGCTAGGGAAGAGGCTAGCAGAGTTCTAATCCGTATGAAGGACAGGTATGAACCTCATGTTAAGTTGACTTATTAAGTTCTACATTAGAGGCACTTATCATAAATTTCAATGCAGGTTTATGACATTGTTTAGTCATGATTCTGATTCAATGCCTCGTATTTGGACGGGTAAAGAAGATATTCGAGCCATCACAAAGTCTTCCCGCTCTGAAGTATGATATATAATTAAGATTCACATATTGTTAGCCGAGTTTCTACTGCATTTGAGATTGAGATACCCTTTTAACCAAATTTATTCGTTTACAGTGCTTGAAGTTGCTGTCTGTAATGGCTGTACTTCGTTTGGCTGATGCTGATGATATTTATGATATAGAGAAAACATTAACAGTCGCATTGGCAGATTCATCAAGCGATTCTGGTAAAGATAAGAGCATCACGACACTCGATCCACTGGCTTCAAGCACTTGGGAGCAGGTGCAATTTTGTTCTTGCTACATCATATTTGATAAATGATAGATCAGAAATGCAATCTATGAAGATAATAAACAGGTATTTCTCTTCTCCTGATCTGGTATCAGGGTGAGAACAGAACTAGTGGAGCCTGAGTGTATGGAAATAACAGAAAGTGAGAAGGCAAGCTGGTACAAACTGGATCAGAAGTTGATCTGTAATCGAAAGATTGCACGAAACTATTGACCTGAGTCACTCGTCACTTGAGGGATTCTGACAATCCTCTCTATACGACAGTCTATAACACACCACGTACATTACCTTTTCCATCATTTCTTCCAATTTGTTGAGTCTAGCTTGCAAGTTGAACCAAGTTTCTTGCATGTCTTGGTCCTCGCTGCACTGAATCCAATCTTACCTCCATTCTCGTAGATACTTGACACCATTGGCACCTTTTTATCCTATGTGAATGTGTGTCCGCAACTCCTGGACAGAAATCAATACCACTTGGGTATCCGAGGAAGCGGCAAACAAAATACAAGAATAATAGAAATTTACTTAAGATATAGAATAAACAAATACCTAGGTAGTTTGAGAGACCCGACGCCATCCCCACAACAACTTCAAAATCCTGTCTGTTAATCTTCCCCTCTCTATTTATAACCTCCCTATTAATGATTAATGGACTAATTTGTTAGTATTGGTTATCTATTTCGTATTCATTTACAAAGACAATCTCCTCCTCCCAATAATTTCCTTATATTCTTCACTTCCTGCCACTTGAGCTAATTCTCTTCACTTTTGTATTCACATAATCAGCAGGACTTGAGTGTGATTCTGATCCACTTAAAAGTCTTAGAATTAACTCCACAAAACCACTTTGTGAAGTAAAAGTTGTCCTAATCTTATAAGGACTACAACAGTCATATCTCTAGTAAGATAATTTCTGGTATTATCTCTGGATTTGCTCTTAAAGTTTAATATTACATGGTCCTTCATTCCTAACATAAATAAAAATGCATAGAAAATTACTTAGTGCTGTCTTGTGAATTGGTTATTGTGTATTTTAGGCTAAAGAAGTTGGTGTTTAGATATCTTGCACGTTCTAATGATTTGGAAATATTTTCTATCCTTGTGACTGAACATTTGTTGTGATTTAATTTTCTTTGAAGGTTCCAACCTCTAAAACATTGATCACACCTGTCCAGTGCAAATCATTGTGGAAGCAATTCAAGACAGAGACAGAATATACTGTCTCTCAGGCCATTGCTGCACAGGCATAAAATTCTCTCCATTCTTTTTATGATTTTCAAGGTTCTTCTATTCATCGGAAACATATTAAAGAAAAATTATTAGAAATACAAATGCTATGAATTTATTTTCGTTAATATCTATTTTAAAGCAGTAGAATAAGTCAACTAGTTTTCGTGTGTGAAAGAAATGGAGCTAGGCTACACTTTTATGCTGCTTGCAGTTGAGGATAAAGTTGTGTTATGACCTTAAGGTCATGGATTTAAATCCTGAAAACAGTCTATCTGCATGTTGGGATTCCCCGAGTTGCTTATATTTATACCCAAAAGACTGGTCTTTTATGGTCTTGCTTAGTTCCGTGTGTAAAGGTTACATTGTTACTTGCTAACTAGGGGACATAATTGGTTTGATAAACATTATGGATGAATATTATGGGACCATATTGTTTGGTTGACTGATCAAACGTTTTACTAACAAATTGATGATGAAATTTCTTTTTAATTTCAGGAAGCCAACAATCGTAGCAACAATTGGTTACCTCCACCATGGGCAATTGTTGCTCTGCTTATTCTTGGATTTAATGAATTTATGACAATTTTAAGGTGGATTCTAACTTTACCTTTTGATATCTTTCTGACTTCTTCCTTTGAAAGAAAATAAGGCTCCGTTTTTGTTCGCTCTTAATCTCCATCTATCTTCTCTGTTCTAGGATGCTTTTGCATGTACCCTAATTAAACTCACTGAAATAAATATTAGGTTGAGCCCCATAAGGAAGCCAAAAGACCAGTTTACCTCATAACAAACTAACTACAACATCCTTGAAAATTCTCTTACTGCTTTCCAACCTTGTGATCAATCAACAACATATATTGCAATCTGCCAAAGAGCTTTGCCCTCTTTACTTGTCCCAAAACCTCGGGAATGGCATGTGTGGAAGTGCTGCTAACTCGCTAGACACATTTAGCATTCATAAAATACAAAAAAGAGCCCACATTTTTGTTACTTATACTGCCTAGCAGTTGAACAGTACAAAATGAGTTAACGGTTTTGAGAACTTAGTTCAACACCCTTTGTATTTATGAAGCTACCGGTACTCATTAACGATAAATTGTCAAGGGGTGACTGCACCCACACAAAGAGGAAGTGTACCAGAATAACCTCCATAATTTGTGTTTTACATCAACTATTAAATGGGCATTTTCAAGAACATACCTACAGAAATTTCTTAACTTTTATCCAACTGTTTAGTTTAATTGATTTCACCCAAGTTTGCTTTTCTGTATGGCAGAAATCCCTTGTATATAGGTGTCATCTTTGTTGGCTATCTTCTCTTGAAATCCCTATGGGTGCAGCTTGACGTTGCGGGAGAATTTCAAAATGGAGCTGTGAGTACCTCTTGTGATTTGTTGTTCATTCTTAGATTTATGATAGTTGTTTGTTAGATCTTTCTATCCTGTTTATTAAGTTTGGTTATGAGCTGTAACAATTAGTATCTAGTTCAGCCAACGATCCGTTACCTACTATATTGAGTTCAGCTGTCGGAGTAATTTCAGGGAAGGTGTAGTTCATCTTCACGAAAGATTGTAAAAGATTCATTTTACTGGATATAAAATATGATCTTGATTTTTTTCATGTAAGATATGTAACATTTCTGGGCTTCCCCTAACATTAGTTTTAGAGAAGAGGTTAGTCAACTCATTGGACATGCCCGTACATGCTTGATTACTTGCATTTACTTATTAAACCTGGTGTTTGCCATATGATTTAAGTCTCTCGTGTTTCGCACTTTTACCAAACCTGGTGTGATAGATACAGTAGAGCATACCATAGTAGCTTGTGTTTTATAGGATGTGTATTGTATCCTAATGTTTTCTTTTTTTTTCAGCTTCCAGGAATCATCTCCTTGTCTAGCAAGTTTGTTCCAGTTATCATGAACCTTGTGAGAAAACTAGCAGAGGAGGCACAGAATGCTGCAGCCGATGACCATAGTGGAAATTCATCAAAACGCTATGAGAGGCCTGTTCCTTCTGGTAGAGTTACATCATCGAGTTCTTCTTCTCGTCTGACTTCTTTGGGTAATCGAACTGACTCAACCGAGTCTATCAGTCCATTAAAAGAAGAGTAGGTAAAGGTAGTTATCTAACTGAAAAGCAAACTATCCTGTTGAAGGGTGGTAGGGTCTGCAGAGTTTTTCCCTGTTCACAGATTTATGACTTGTGATCATTTTTAAAGACATTAAAAGGTATGATTTTTGTGCAAATGCCGCACATGGGGACTGTTTGTTACGAGGCTCACGTTGAAATACAAGTCTCTTCCAGTTAGGTTCTTTAGTTACTATGGGAAGTTAGGTTGTGAATTTTTTCATACTGGCAGTGCATTCAATCTTGAGTGTAAGAGTTGAATGTGGTCTGAGTGTATCTTTCTGAAAGTTTAATGTTGGAGTCGTGTGTTTATATTAGATTTTTAAGATTTTGACTGATGCAACTGTATGTAAGATCATTTTTCTGCCAAATTGGTTATCATGCAATACGATGTTTAATGTAGTGACTGTTTTCTATCAGCTTGTTTGGGTTCGGCATACTAGACACAGTCTTGTATTGTAAAAAATTTCAGGATTATTTTTTATGCCTGAACAAATAATGACAACAAAATCCTGTGGTTAACAAGTACTTGCGGGCTAAAAGTTAAACTGTAATTTGTAAACATGTCTAGACTATAAACTTAAATAAGGTACAAAATAACTTTTTGAATACTCAAATTGTTCATGTTTATTTCAAGCAAATTGATATTTCAACGATCCATTGGTTACTCGATAGTTATTTGATAGTAAACTAGATATATAACTTGTGAATAGTTGATAGTTTACTAATTTTGCAACCTTCTTTTAGTTTGATATATTTGATCGGATTTGAAAGCATAATTTTGTTATTAGAGTTTGAAAGTAAAGAGTAACTTGATTAATAGTTTGTTTGGAAAAATTTCTTTCACCAAGTTATTTTTGGAAGATAAAAATACGAGAGAGAAAATTAAATTAATTTATACAAATTAAAAGTAAAAATTTATTTAGGAAATAATACAAAAGAGTTAAATTAAATGATATATAAATCAACTTTTATATATACAAACAATTATGGAAACGATTGTCTACACATGTCTAAATAGAAATATTAAAAAAACACTTTTTGACTTACAGCCATGACATAAAAAAAAGTGATTGATAACACTCCATGATTTATCAACTTAGACGAAACTGGATAATACACAATACTAGGAAATGTCATCTGGAATTTTTTAACTCTTAATTGTTAGGTTTAATGGTACTTTTAATTTATTAGTCATGACTAATGTATAATTTTTATTTTCTGATAATTAAAAGTTAGTTTCCCAACTCTTAAATTTTTATTTTATTTTCAAATACTTGAGATTTTACCATATGATTTGAGCTATATGAAATCATTTGAACGAATTGGTGAAATTTTAATATACTTTGGAAACATTTATGATAAGTGAGAATAGGGATTTCAAGGAACAAAAATCTAAAGATTTATGATTTAGATTTTAAGTGGAAGATAAAATGAACATTTGGAGACTATTTTACATAGAGGATATGACTTAATTGTAATAATTAAGGTAATGAAATAAAGTATTTTATTTGAAATCATTGAAAATTCATTCAAAACAATAACATAAAGATATCATGTAAATGTTAATTTTTTTCCCCAAATGTTTGGTTGAGACCACTTTGATCCTTGATGAATAATGGTCTCTGAATTATAGAAAGTGACAGAAAAATTACCCTTGTATGGACAAATAACTTTCCAGCCTCAATTTTCATTTTATATTGAAATAAAAAAAGAAAACATAAACAGGAGAGAAAGTTGTGTTTTACAGATACAAGAAAATAGCAGAGAATGATTTATATTACACCAACTCAGATGCTTCTTCAGAATCAGACAATGGTAACAGGGTGCAGAAGCCAAGCATGTGACCATTTAGGCATACATAATACTCGACACAATCTTCATAGGAACCCAACCTGCAACTAGCACTTTGAGGAATCATATTGGCTTGCAGCATGTTCCACAACTTTGCTTTACAATAAGGACAGACTTCTGTTGGATGGAACTTGGCACTTTTCTTGATAAGCATTTTCTTGACCTTTGAAGCTGAAAATGACTTAAAAACTCCTCGGAAGAACCCTATGTCCCCCTCTTCACCTTGGTCCAGATGCTCGCAAGGATCAGATACATACAAAACATCAGTTCTGCATTGTGGCAAGAGAAAGCTCCTTCCAGATGTTCTAGAAAACCGTGTCTGATAAACAAAATGACCAGGAATGTGAATGTTGGTAAACAAACCACCTTTTTTGCTTCCTGCACAGTAGATAAGCAGCTTCCCTAGGGCTCTCCAGTTCCCATCAACACTGTGACTCCCGCTAGACTGCAGATCAAGCATCATTTTTGGAGCTCTTGTTCGACAAAACTCTTTCCACAGAACTCGTTTGGCAAAATCATCAAACCATTTGCATGCACATGACAGAGCAGCAATTAGCTTTGGATTCCAATTCAAATGATAAAATACTAAGAATATCACATCTTCAGTTAAATGTCCTTTAGTGCATTGACAGCTAGCTGAATGTATGCATCGGTACTGCTTTGCGAGGATCATTCTCTTCACCTGCCAAAACTGGAAGGAAAATCACAAGTTTATGGCAACCCTTTTGTTGGAATACTAACTTTATGCAGATTAATAATTTCAAATTTTCAAAATTACAAATCTGAAGCATATGCCAATGCCATACAAGAATCAATAATTCATCTGTTCAGGTTGATCACTAAAGTACTCAAAGAAAAAGAAAATATAAATACTTCTCCTCCTTCCCTTAATCAGGTATACATGTCACAGACTTCCACGGTACTATTACTTCACCCACTCACTAGTCAACAATTCATAAAACACCATATTCTTCTCCCGATTCCAACCACAATTGGAGCAATATATACACATTATGCTGCATTACCACAAATCATCTCCGGCAACTATGCTTATGAACGCTAGAAAAGGTTCAGTGCATAAACACAATTTTCACTTCAAAACAGTGACATTGCAGTTGTGAATTGTAAAACAGTAGCCCAATCCCAAAAATTTCAGATAGACAAAATTATCGGACACCCCCATAGAGTGCAGGTTGCCCCCAATTCGATATTTAATAGAATCCGCAGTCAATATGAGAAATTTACAACGACCCTCGACTCAGGAATCGCCAAAAGAAATGGAGAGTAAATGGATTATTTGATTGGGGCAAGAAATTCGAAACTTTTCGACTGACCTTAGCCTCAGCTTATTTGATCCGTGACCACCAAACCCTAGAGATATCCAACTGCGCATGCAAATGAAAAGCTGAATTGAAGGATTGTGGAAGCAGAAGCACGCAATTGCAACTTGAGCTTGCTTTTGCTTCAATGGAAGGGCAATTTAGTCCATAAAAGCAGAGAATACTTTGAGGTAGTTGTCTGAAAAGAAAAAACGTGGTAGAACTAAGAACACTTTGGTTGGGTTTATTTTATGTGTGTTCTTGACATGTCTTGTTCGACAAATTATACTCTAAGAAATTATTTTAAAATAATTGCTATTTATTATACAATTTCTTAATAATAAATGTTTTATATATAGTGATACAGGAACTATACTTATAAGTTATAAGGTTACCAGTTAATAGTGTTTTTAATCTCTAGAAAATTATCAGATTTTTTGTTTTAATTTATAACCTTTGAAATATTAACTTTAGTTTTTTTTTTGTACTTTTTGAAATATCTAAAGTTGGGTAAATATTTCTGTCTAGAACCTTGATTTTTAATTTCAAAGATTTGAATTATATTGCTATCGTGATATATTTTAATTACAATAGTAAGTAACATAATATATTCAATTTGGTAGACTTTAGCTTAAACATGAAAGCAAAATACATATTTCTTCCAATTTAATATATTCTATTTAAGAGGATACTTTTTTGTGTATTATTATTTTTAATCAATAAACTGACCCATTTATCAGCAAATTTTCAAGGATTTAATAAAAAGATTTAGAAAAATAAAACCTAATACATCTGTTTTGCAGGTTTAACTAATACTAGGCAAAACAAAAAGCACCGTTCAGACCAACATAGGAATTTGTTTGCATCTGTCATCAAGTTCAATATTGTCTATAGACAAAGATAAAAAATAATTTACAAATAATCACCTTTTTCAATATATTTAAATAAATTTGGAATTAAATCTAAGTCCAAACATGTTTGGATAAACCGCCAAAGCCGTAGAACTCATAAATATATTTTAGAAACAAATCATTTAAACTATAAAAAACATATTTTTGAACGAATAAAATCATATTTATAAAGATTAAAAACAGTTTGTTTGAATTCTATTTCTGAAACTGATTTGTATTTGACTCAAGAAAAATGTTGTCATCTTAACAAATTTTATTGATTTTCAATTAAAGAATATATTTAAAATTTCAAATCTATTTGTTATATTATTGATTTTTATTGAAATTTAATAATAGATTGTGTAAAATTATAATCTATTATAAGAAATCATTAATAAGATTATACACACATTTTTATATTAAATATTAAATTAAATTTGAAAAACTCACATATATTAATTTGTAATTTAAATAACCTACATTCAAACATGGTTTATCTTAATAAGAATTGTTGTTTGTTGGATTTATTGTGTTATCAATATTGTACATCAAAATATTTTCACTTTAATTCTCATTTTTAAGATTAAAATATCATTTGTAGTGTTAGTCATTGTGAAATCACAATAATAAGAAATGAAATTTATAATTAGAAATAAAATAATGGTTGAATTAAAGTGTTACTTCTAATGGTTTATATATTTTCTCTTCATTTTGATAGGTATAATTTTTTTTTAATCATGCATGAATAAATAATATTTTAAATTGTATAATTCATAAAAATATTATAAATTGTGCAACTCAAATTCAACAACGTATTTTGAATTATAAAAATGTATTTTAAATTTTGCAATCTAAAAATGTATCACACTATCAACAATGTCAACATGTTTTTTCACATTATTTCCATTAAAATGTCAAAATCTAAAAAAACAACACCACATACATTTTTTAGTATATTTACGAAGTCAATATTTGCTTTTAAATATTAATCAAACAACCAAGATTATTTTTATTATAAATCTCACATTTATTAAAGATAAAAGTTTAAACATAAAAATTTAAAATATATAAGTAAAGGTAAACATTACTTCACAAATTAATTTTCGTGAAATTAAATTAATATTGTTATCAAATCATCATTAATTTAAAGATTGAAGATTGTGCATACATTCTTGAATATAAACATTCTTAATTTAGTTATGTAAGAGCAAAGTATCTATATACAAAATATATGAATTAAAATCATAAAATGAATTATAGTTTTAAATAATAATGTTGGAATGTTATCTTCCTACCCAAATCATTGTAATGTTGGTCACTATGAACCCATCGCAAGAGTAAGAAACCAACATTGACAAAATGATAGGAAATGAAACTTAGAGAATGAAGATTAAAATAATGGATATAAGGTGGGTGTAAAAATTTATAGCGTGTTAAAAGTATCATGGTCTTAAAATGATGACTTTTACGGTTCAATATTTTCTTTCTTCATTTTTTACAAGTATTTTTTTTTTAATTGTACACGAATAAAAAACATTTTGAATGGAATAATTCACAAATGTATGGTAAATTATGAAACTCAAATTCAATAAAGTATTGTGAATTGTATAATTCAGAAGTGTATTTTAAATTGTACAATCTAAAAATATAGTATTCTATCAACAATGTCAAAATGTTTTCCACATTATTATTTAATAATATATATTGTTGATTACATTTATCAAAAATGAAAATTTTCACCACAAAGATTCGTAAACTAAGACCAATCTGCTAAGATATAGAAAAGTACTTAAATTTTAATTATTTCGTGTTATTAGGTTAAGAGTTGTTGTATGGGGACGTATGTAATGTTCTTCTAGAAACAATTTATTAATCTTTATATAACTAACCATACATAATTGTTAAACAAAAAAAATTATAGATCCTTAATTTTTTTTAATACAATTAATTATATTATTTGGTCGAACTTAAGATAACGTATTTGATAATGCATATGACATAGTATGTGTATGTTTTTGTTGTTTGGTCATAGATTACTATATATAGCTGTGTTTCAAGCCTTAGTGGTTTTTATCTTGAATTTGTGGACTTTGTGCAAGGAACGTGAATACCATAAATTTCATTCAGTGTTGCGTTAAGGATTGCGACATGGGAGACTGCAAATAAATAAAAACACCACATTCACAAATCTTTGCAAAGATGTTTAATTTTTCACAGTTATACAATAAAAAAAGTGGCAAGGATATGATGACATATTACCTCTCAAATCAAATCAATTACTAAGTTTTAACCAAAAAGAGTAAAGTGATCAAAATAAAATCTCCTACCTTATTCTTCTTTGCTAAATATGGATGGAAAGTATAATAATAGAAAGATAATCATAAAAAATAAATTTTTGTATTTAAAATAATAATAATAATAAATAGTGTTAAATGAATGTAAAATTTTTATGTGTGTTAAGATATTAAATAAATAACTAAAGTGAGAATATATATAATATAAATTTTTATTTAGTATATATTAGTCAGAAATATCAAGGTGAGTCATCTAATTTAAGTACTTGTTAAATTAAAAATCAATTAATTCAATCTATTTTACTTTTTGTTAAAGGGTACATTTTGTAATTCAGTTTTACCTACTATAAATTGATTTGAATAATTTTTTACACTAAAACAATAAATATTCATCTATTTTATTAAATAGTAGTTGAAATTAAAGTGTTAATGTAATATTCCAAAAATATAGTATAAAACTATATACATGTGTCATTATTTAATAATATGATAGAACAGTTGTTGAAAAATAAAGTTAACCTTAAAGTTATTACAAAATAAGCATAAAATTTAAAATTTATAAAGTTCTTATATTATTACAAAACAAAGTAAATAACTGAACGGTTATTACAATTATAGAATTGTAACCGAACGATCCAATCTAAAACTATAAACAATTAGATGACCAAGCGGTCATAACTTAAGCAGTAGGATCTCTCCCTCCAGCGCATGCTCCAGAGAACCATCTTCACACTCTGCTCACACCCACAGAGTGATCATTGCAATGACACAGACTATCGAACGGACAACATGACAAGACAAGAAATAATGGTAAACTAATGTAATTTAATTGTGCAAACATACATACATTTCATACAAGTACAACCAATGCAATTACAGATAAGCATATACAACTGAACATTATACTTCAAACATAAGCCGAACACCTGACTTAACCATCCAGATTGTATATATATGTAGCTACAGTCGTCCTTGCACTTGTGGTAGTGTAACAGCTGACATCAATCAAGTTATTACCCAAGGTTAATCCTATAATACCTACCTCAGCACCCTGAGGTGGTAGGACCTCCTGCTATCCTCACAAATGAAATATCTCTCTCTATGTGAGAATGATAATCATAGAATTTTAGGATGAACGCCAGCTTAACATATCCGTATTCATACTTTACAATTCAATAACCATCCACGAGACATTCCTCCTTGGAATTCTCTTCCACAATATTTGAAAGCATAAATTTTCACAACTTAACATACACAATCATTCATCAATCATATACTCACTCATAAGACTGAAAACCCTGTGAACTTTTAGAGACCGAATAGTTTCTCACCACTTCAGTACAAGACCGAACGGTAATAAATATCACCCATAAATATGACCGTACGGTCAATTTGAAGAGTAAGGCTCAAACTTGAGCCGAATACAGTTTGAGGGTCAAACACTAGAACAACCGAACACTTAGAGTTTAGACCGAATACTTATAACTTAAAATGAACACTTATTGTAAGACCGAGCGGTCTTTCACTATCCATAGAACAGGACCGAACGATCCATACTAGGTAAGACTGAGGAAATGACCGAACACTATTAACATGTAAGGCCCATCAGAGGCCGAACACAGTTAAGACCGAACACCAATACCATACCGAGTACTAGTGCAAGACTGTTCGGTCATTAACTGAAAACTCCACAGAAGCAGAACTCGGATAAGACCAAACACAAGAGGAAGACCACTCACACCTAATACCGAACGGTCATAAACTGGTAAGACTCTAAAGGGACTGAACCCAGTTTATGACCGAGTACCTGAATATTGCCGAACTGGTAAGGCGCTAGACATTACCAAAACTAAACATTTTCCCCAACTTTTAATCCTCCAAATTGATATCATATAACTATTAAAACTTAACCAAGGACATCTAAACCTTTTCAACATCATTCTAAAAGATCTTACATCAGAATTATACCCCAATTCTACAGAATCATCAACCCAAAGACCAAAAATCCATTTTTCTACTATTGGTACAGTTTTTAGTAACCTGAAGGTTCTAACAAGTCCCAAAACACTTGCTCAGATTCTTCCCATTGACCAATTTCACTATCGACCCCAAACTCTCATTTTTACTTACTCACTTTCCCAAAACCATAACAGACCGAACACTTATGCAGAGACTCCAACCAGTTCACAGGTTCCATCATTCATCAATTCAACACAATTAGATCAAACATTCAATTCACATACATGCAACCATCCAAACAATAATTCCATACATAGAAAATCATAAATAACTTAACTAGCTTCCCTTACCTCTTAGCCGAAACCGAACAGCTCAACAACTTTAGAAATTTTGCTCTCAACACCAAAACATTCTAAGAATACCTATAGAGTACCGATTGGTGATAAGAGACCACCCAAAGAACCAAAATGAAGTTAGAAAGAGGAAAGGAAGACTGCTGAATACATGCAAACAAAGATGTTCTTGCATGTGCCAGAATTTGAAGAAACCAACAGAAATCAAGGAGATCGAAACTTACTAGCTCTAAACACAAAATTAATCAGTGGAAAGGAAAGCTCTAGACCCCAGGATTGCTTAAGTACAGCCATATTGTTGAAAAGATAAACTGAGATGAAGAAATTCTAGAAAAAAGAAAGAGAAAGAAGAGAGTAGGAGTTTTGAAAAAAGATAACATTCAAAAAATGAGACAAAGCTTTTGAATCTTTAATTTATATAATAGTGTTATTTTAATATTAAATTACTCAGTCCTATTATTTATATACACCTGCTTACTCCAAAAATCTGAGTTCTAACAGTTAACTTAACAAATTAACAAATAAATAAATTAAATATTAAAACATTATTCAATCACATATTAATATAAAAAAAAGTCAAACTATCAACTTATATAATTAAAAGTATTAAATAACTATAACAAAAAAGTTATAAAAAATTACTGACGGTGAGTTAATTATCAATCTACCTTTAATTTGACCTGAATTCGTTGACCTACAAATTAAATAAGGTTGCTTCAATTTGACCTGAATTCGTTTAATCTATAGTCGGAATAAGCTTTACCTATTTGAAACCTATTTTTACATCTTTATATACGTAGCGTGCACAACATAAATAATTTGAAAATAGATTTAAAAGTCATGTGGGGTATACAATGGAAACAGTATGTGTATGAATAAATAACTAATTAATTTTTTATTTGATTAGTGATTATCGTATAAATATCTATGGTAAAATATTTTCAAAATGGAAAAGCAAATACAATTTTTCATTTTTCATAATGGAAATTCCCTATTTTTTTTTATACATTTTAAGAAAGTTGTTAAATTTCTAACTTCAATATTATATATATATATATATTATCTCAGAAGTTAAATATAGAAATGTGACAGACATGATAGTTTGCAGAAGGAGTTGGGATAACATACTTAATTTACATTTCTGAGAAGAGGTCGTGAACGGCATAATTCTACTTTGATTCAACTACTTTCCTAGTAATAACTGCTACTTTTTCTTTTTTCGTATTTCAACTTTTCATGTCTACTTGCATGTAGCATGTGCATGTTCATAATTCTCAAGATCAATTTGAACCAATGTATTCAACTCCTATTTCATGACCATGCCTTGTGATAAATGGAACTAATGCACCATGAATCATCAACACTTTTCCATCTTTGTGCTTATGGAATGTTGTAAATCTTCAAGTAATGTCAACATGCAATGTATGTTGTATGGATCAGAAACATCCATCCACACTCCATGTTTTCAGATGAATTCACATTTCTTCTAGATAAAAGTAAACATATACACGGCCATCATTGTTTGCTGCTCCAACTTATATAACTAAAGCAGACATATAACGTGGTAAAGAAGAAACAAAGAAAAGGATTCATAAATATGAAAAATCACTATAAATCTAATAAATAACAAATGTAATAGTATGGTACTAGATTAAATATATTTTTAGTTTCTTAATTTTCAATAAAAATTAAAATTAATTATCCATCCAAATTTTACTAATTTAATCTTTCGATAAATTTAATTATTTAAACCAAATTTTATTGAATTTTGTTGATATTTCAAATGTGCTTTTAGTTACTTTAATGTGAAAATGTGTCAAAGAATACAAAAAGTTAGTTAAAATAACTAAATTCATACAATTTTTAAATTTGAAAAATTAAATTGAATCAAAATTCTAAATAAAGACTATTACTAATTTTCACTAAAAATTAAATGAGGAAAACATATTTATAACCCTATATTATTTAAAGAATTATCCAAATAAATTCTATAAAATTAGCTCATTAAGAAATATTTATATATATAAAAAAAACTCACAAATTTATTATCTTTCTATTTAAGATTCTAGCTTAAAGATTGATAGGTTTTTGAAAGAAGAGATTTAATAATAATGAAACTGAACCAAATCTACACAATTTTTAAATTAAAATCTAAAAGAAATGAATTTATGAATTTATTTCTTATTAAATGTTAAATTTTTGTATTTATACTTAATGTGTAACTTAGATTTAAATTTCTTAAAAAAAATACTTTATATATTTCTTATACGAGTTTATTGATAATTAATTGTATCAACAATATCAACCACATAGCTATAAAGGAATGATTATTGTATATATTTGCATTTATTAATGATGTACATGAGTTGAACAGAGTTTGGCAAGTTGTAGGTGTGTTTTGTAGTGTATAATTTTCCTGTGTTAATTTGTGAATAATTGTTTGGGGGATAAATACTACGTAGGTGTCTGGTTGCATCTAGCAGCTGTAGTGGGTACGATTCTGCAGCACTGAGATTATTGATCTTCTTATTTTCTCTTAAATGTTTTAATAGAAAGTACAGCCAAATCAATCTCCTAATTAATTATTTGAAACGCTGGAAGTAGATAAACTAAAATAATGGGTCATTCATTGTTCCTCTTCGGCTCCTATTGTCTTGATCTATTACCAGTCAACTGATAAACAGAACCAACCACCAATAACACAGGCAATCATCACCATAATAAATTTTTCTCTTCAAAGTATGCGCGGGAGATACATTTTGGAGGAAAACCGGTTTATGTATATATATATATATATATATATATATATATATATATATATATATATATATATATATGGGTAGAGCAGAGAATCAGTACCATTATATATTAATGACTTTTTTAACAACAGTCATTATTTCACTAGTTCGTGTGTTTAAAATGTACCAATCATATAGATAAACGATTGTAAAAAAAATTATTAAAAAAATATTATTCTTTGCATTTTCTTTCTCATTCTTTAATTGTCGTTTTATGATTTTGGTATATGGTTAACTTTAATTTTTCGTCTTTAAATTCCAAGCTGAATAGGTGAATTATACTCCAATCTCAAATCATTTGTATGTATTTAATAAGTTATTATATTAAAGTCTTAAGTTCGCAAGTGAATACAATTTCTTACTTTCTTGTTTTTATCATTGCATCTATAAATTTTAAAATAAATTTTTAATAAAAATTAATCTAATTATAATTCAAAAGACTAAAAAATTGTTAGATGCATTTTACTTGTAAACATGTCGAATTTGTAATGTTAATGTCTAATAATAGCCTTATGTGTCAGTTTATTGAGAAACTGATCGATTTGCAAAAATTTAGAATAGAAAATGACTGAGCTTCAACGTTCTTTTACGTTGATCATCCGGTCATACCTAAAATATGCTTGTTAATTCTAAATTTACTAAATCAGTAATTTTAACGTCAATGTTTAAATTCAGATTATGATATCTGTGAAATTTCTAAATGATTTTCATGATGGTAATTAAGTAAAATTAAAGAAGCTATGAAAAGAAAAGAAGAGCATGAATGGAGAGAGAGAATTTTCGTATATTTGGTAGAATATTAAATATGGAGCTTTATTGGTGGTGCCGGTGAGTGAGCTGGCTTGTTATAAAAGTGGTGGATAAGTTTGCAGAGGTAGCCAAATCCAACGGTCAGATTCTTCCCAAACCTTCACCTTCGTTTCCTCATTAAATGCCTTATTCAGATGCTGTTTCACCCTTTCTCAACAAGCACGGGAAACTTACATTCATTGCTATTAACTGCTATCTTTCATTGCTACTATTTACTTCTTTCTAAAACAAATTTTCATCACTTTATTATTCTAATGTTTTTCTATTAGTAAAAAATTAAACCCTTCAAAATAAACCGATGATATATAGAAAGTGGTGTTTCTTATATTTAATACATTTTCAATATATTTTTTAGAAGGAGAAAATATTCTGCTTTAATTCATAAAACATTAGTTAACATTCTCTTAAAAATACGTGTGTTTAAAGAACAGATCAGTGGGGACATTTGAGAATATTTATATGGTGCACATGCACACAGAAGAGAAGGCCAACCAGAGCCAGCCACTCAGAGGTTGAAGAAGCTGCTTTTCTCAGACTCCATGGCGTCCATTGGTGCACTCAAATTCTTCCTTTACTTACTTCCATGTCTCCTCAACTATCTACCTCATTCTCAAGGTTTATTCCATCTAATCATATATATATATATATACTCAACAACACCTTCTATATATCTATATTATATATATATATATATATATATATATATATATATATATATATATCTATCTTTGGTGTGCACTTTCTAAATCCTATTCTGACATTCACACAAACCAATCTCAAACACAATGTTCTGTAATATACAGTCAATGATTCGTGTATTTCACTGGGTCAGAATGTGATGTAATAGACAAAATGTTTACTTTCCTAGTACATAAAAAAACAGCTTCTGTTATGTTTTATGATGATAAAACACAACACAATACAATAATACATACAACCTTTTATCTTCACTGTTCTTTTTATGGTCGAGAAATGTTGTTGAAGATGAAAATGTATGGTTGCAGGTAAGCAGAATTGGAATGGTGAGTACCCATTTATCAGGAGAGGAAGTTCATTGGGGCGTTTGGACAATGGTGGTTATGACTATATAATAGTGGGAGGTGGCACTGCAGGGTGTCCATTGGCTGCAACGCTGTCTAAGAAATTCAAAGTTCTGGTGCTTGAAAGAGGAGGAGTCCCTTTCAACAACCCCAATGTGACATTTCTGCGAAACTTTCACATAACTTTGGCAGACACTTCACCAACTTCGGCTTCTCAGTACTTCATTTCAACAGACGGAGTGCTGAATGCAAGAGGAAGGGTTTTGGGAGGTGGCAGTTCCATTAACGCTGGCTTCTACACTCGAGCTAACCCTAGGTAACACCAACCTTCTTCTCTCATCAATTTTCTCCTCTTTAGTATGTTAAATTCCAATGTGAATAATTTTTTAGGGTATAGTTTCTGTAGCGATTTCAAAATTTAAGAGCCTATATAGTTTTCTGATTTGAAAAAAAATTTCTAATTTATCTTAATTAAAATATTTTTCTATATTTTGTAAAATAAGGATAAAATTATATTTTATATTGATTTGATACACATTATAAAGTAAAAAATGATCATAAAAAATTTTGTGTGAAATTTCTCAATTTTATAACCATTTATAATAGAAGTTGTCATTTCAACGTCCCCTTATTTGAGGAAAAATTCAGTCCACTTGGAACGTAATGTAAATGTTATTGCATTTACTCTCGGATTAAAAAAAGTACATTAAAACAATCAAAATTTAATATGGTAGATTAATTATAATTGAGGAAATTAATTTTCGCTTTAAAATATGATACATACTATTGGAATTAACAGATATAAATCCATTATTTTTTAAAGTTTTATCATAGAGTTGATAAAAGTAAATGATTATTCTCTAGATAAATTAATTGAAACAAAAATTAAATTGCCATGCTAACTTACTACTATGATGAGAACAAAATTTACCTGTTGAAAATCATTTTATTGTTACAAATATGGTACATTTACAAGGTGAATATTATACATTCAATATGATAAATTAAAGGTGTATATCAATTTCTTCTTACAAGTCGATATTATTAACCCATGAAGGCCAAAGGCATTCATTTGATCATTGTTAAAAATAAAAATTATAAATTTATGTCATATAATTATATGTAGATTGTATTAATTTTATAAATAAATAAATTATTATAAGACTATTTAAATAAATGGCGTACATTTATCGTTTAATATTAATGGACCTTTTAAATGTGATTAAATGATTAAAGTTTATAATTCTTATTTTTTACTATAAAAAGTTCTTGCTTTAAAAGTACTTAATGTACTCTATTAATATAGATTGGTAATATTTGTACTAATACTTTAATAATCAATAAATGAAATAACATTGATGAGATTTGTCTAACAATCATTATTTTCTGTAATATGTCACAATTTTTTTAGTATTATTACCAGTTGTCTGCTTCCAACCATCAAGTACAGCATTTTAAATCCAATTGTGTGTTTACTTGCAAACATCATTTTATTCAAAACTTCAATAACGTGTGTGCTTTTTTTCTCTTCTTTCATTATCATTATTAGATGTTGTTGTTGATTATTGTTTCCCAAAGAAATTGTGTGTCGGGTTAAACATTATGTACACCCACCCACCAAAAAACAAAGGCACAGAACTATACAGTATTAATTCCAAGTTTCCTATTTAATTGAATAATGGATTAAAGTAAAAGCAAATGTCAATAATTATATGATTTACTCGTTAGTAACATTTGCTTTCACATTAATTATTATTCAAAAACTTACTTTTGAGTTAAATTTAAATTTCTTAATCTAACATAATATAGATATATTTACTTATAGCTTAACCTATTTCTAAAAAAAAAACACTTATTTTAGAAAAACTAGATATATTAATTGGTATTTCTTAAATGGGTTTGAGGCTTATGTGTGATCTAAGCAGAATGACAATGATATAAAAGACTGCGTTTAATTTGACAAAATTCCAACTTGATGAATTAAATGCTTTTGTGTGTACCTTGTTAGCCCTATTTTATGCAATGTAAGTTGTTAGGTGAGAGTGTCAGATTTTAAGAAAAGGAAGGGATGAAAAGAGACCACACACAAAACAGAACATTGAATATATTGTAGGGTAGTTTTTTGTTTTGGTAAAAATCATTATAGGTGCTTGTTCCTTGGAATAGCCATTGAATTCACATGTTGCAAAATGACCATTACACTGATTCATTTAGTTTTTTATTTATTAGTGTTGCTATTTGATGTTTACATGGACCAGTCAATGTTATTCAACATCCTGAGAGATAAACTGACAAATATAGAATATAAATAAGTACATAAATACCATACTGAAAAATATTTTTATATGCTCTCTATAAAATTTTAATGGTAGATTGGGCTTTTCAAATTCAAAAAATTAACCAATTTAATTTTAATTATTTTAACATACTATTCACTTTTTAATATGTAAATCAAAATAATCTTATTAAACTTAATCGTTAAACCCTTTTACTAATATATGACATGAATGGGTGTTATAAAGTTATTTAATTTTAGAAAATTTAAAAATTAAAATTTAACTTTCACAAAGTTGTATATCTGTAAAACCATAAGAGCAAATTTAATTTTAAGCCAAATGTTAATATTGTATTTTTATGATATAGAAATGTTATGTAGCATTACTACTGTTTGTCATAATTTGGAAATATGCATTAGTTTGTTACTATTTATTACCGCTTTGAAAATTCAAAGAATTTTTCTCATTACATAATATGTAGTAAATATTTTAAAATGAATAAAACTTTAATTGCAAGAAAGAATTGGGTAAAAAGTTTTTTAATAAATATTTTATATAATTTATTTATTCCTATTTTATCTTTTCTTTTTTTGTCTATATCCATCTAAATAACATATTTCTTTTTTTTTTGTATTCTTTTTATTTTCCACTGATATATCGTTAATTTACTTATGATCCAAACAAACTAGTTAAAAAAATAAACAATTCTTTTAATAAATATATAAACAATCTTTATATTTATTTTTCAAAAAACTAAAGTAAAAATTGTATTAAATTATTTTCCTTCAGTTGATAATAAGTATTGTTTACAAAGATTAAAAGAATCTAAAAGCCCAATATTTTTTAATAGCTCTAAAATCCTAAAATAATATATACTATAAAATTAAATTATGTTAACAAACCATTAAAAAATGTTTATTAAAAACTAATTTATAAGGAGAAGGACGATGTTAAAAAGATAATAATGGTTTTAAATTATGAAACAATAATTATTAATAAAATAAACTTAAACAACTCTTATTTTCGGAATGAATATAATATTTAACAAGCATATTTATATGCAAGACTCTTGTTTCAAATAAGTAAATGTGATCATCCTCTCACTAGATTGACATTGTACAAGGCAATTATAAAAGTGATAATAAAATATTATCGAATACGCTTTTATCAGTTTCTCTATATTGAATAAAATTACGTGAATGTGACTTCTAAGTTAATGAATTTTAAATTTTCAGGACACTTAACTAATAAATAAAACGTGTTTAAAAAAGACTGTCTTAAATTATCCGAAACAAGAAAAGATATGCTACATAGATAGTGTGTAGTATGAAACATGTTTTGTTTCTTTTTTTTCTGCAGATTTATAAGGAAGGTGGGGTGGGATACAAAGCTAGTGAACGAGTCTTATCCTTGGGTGGAGAAGCAGGTTGTTCATCGTCCAAAGTTTTCACATTGGCAGAGAGCAGTCAGGGACGGGCTTCTAGATGCTGGTGTGTCACCTTTTAATGGATTCACCTATGATCATAAGTATGGAACCAAAGTTGGTGGAACCATTTTTGACAGATTTGGCCGCCGCCACACCGCTGCTGAGTTGCTCGCTTCTGGGAATCCTAAGAAACTTACTGTCCTCGTCCATGCCACTGTCCAAAAGATTGTTTTTGATACAACAGGTATGATATGATCAATATGTAAGAAACATTTTTAATGAATATATACTAGCCTAAAATCACCGTCTCATGACTGAAAAATGGTGATGCAGGAAAGAAACCAAAAGCCATTGGGGTTATTTTCAAGGATGAAAATGGAAAGCAGCATCAGGCATTTCTGGGAACTGGGAGGAAGAGTGAAGTGATTGTGTCTAGTGGGGCAATTGGCACTCCTCAATTGCTACTGCTCAGTGGAATTGGCCCCAGAGAAGAGCTTCAGAAATTCAACATCCCTGTAGTGCTTCACAATGAATTTGTCGGTAAAGGCATGGCTGATAACCCCATGAACACAATTTTCGTTCCTTCCAAGAGACCAGTTCAGCAGTCACTCATAGAAACTGTCGGTATAACCAATCTGGGTGTGTACATTGAGACTAGTTGTGGCTTTGGTCAGTCCAAAGACAGCATTCACTGTCACCATGGTATCTTGTCAGCTGAGGTATGCACTTTATTTGCTGCAAAATTACTTCTAATGTTAGAAACTCAGAGCACATTTGGTGTGTTATTGGAACTCATGCAATTACTTTTGAACATGATAAACCAGATTGGGCAGCTGTCGACAATTCCACCAAAGCAAAGATCACGAGAAGCTGTTGAGGCCTTTGTGAAGAGCAAGAAAGACATACCAATCGAAGCATTCAGGGGAGGGTTCATACTGTCAAAAGTTGCGAGTCCTTGGTCTACAGGTGAACTGATGTTGATAAACACCAACGTGGAGGAGAACCCTGCTGTTACCTTCAACTATTTCAGCCACCCTCATGATCTTAATCGCTGCGTGGAGGGTATCCGCTTAGCCATAAAGGTTGTTCAGTCACAGCACGTCACAAACTACACTATGTGTGACAGACAAAGCGCAGAGAAAATGTTGAACATCAGTGTGCAGGCAAATATCAACCTCATACCCAAACATCCCAATGACACAAAGTCACTGGAACAGTTTTGTAGAGACTCTGTGATCACTATTTGGCACTACCATGGTGGGTGCCATGTGGGGAAAGTAGTAAACTCTGAGTATAAGGTTCTTGGTGTTGACAGACTCCGTGTGGTAGATGGCTCCACATTTTCTGAGTCCCCAGGAACCAATCCTCAAGCCACTGTCATGATGATGGGCAGGTATGTAACACTACACAGAATAATGTACATTTTTTTAATTAACGTCTCATTATGGAATTTATGGTGTCAATTCACCTTATATATGCTAATAATATGTTCATATTTGCAACAGGTACATGGGACTGAAGATTCTAAGAGACAGGTTGGGGAAATTGGGTGATATTTAAGATGAGTCAGGAGTGTGTAATATGAAATTATCTCACCAAAAAGGTTGTAATTCGAAGACAAAAAGTGCTATTAGTAGTAGTAGTCTTTAGGGCTGGAAATGGATGTATTTTGTTTGTTAATTGTCAGTGAAGAGTGATTATCAAATTATGAAGCTATTTTTCTGAAAAAGAAAAGTTATTGCAAATCCTCAAGGCCGGTTTAAACTTCGAGTCCTTTTTTAAAACATGAAATTGTAAGAACCAATTTTTTGGGTCGTGATGTAGCATGTAAGCATGAAGAAAATTAGACACGGTGTAATGATTTAGATTAGACTGAGGCTATTATCAATTTGAGTATATATATATATATATATATA